AGCAACACATCTTCATTTACAACGAATATACCATTTTCGTGTTTCCATTCAATAAAAGCATCATATTCCTTATGGTAAATGGCACGAGACTTCCTAGGAAGTAAATCCAATACGATTTCTTTCGCCTTATCAGCAATATATTCCGGATTTTGGAACATTTTATTTGAGTTTCCACAAACAATTCTGTGACCTCTAACAAATTTCAACGATTTCAACAAATGATAAAATCATCAAATAAACAAACTTGTCTTGTTGCTACGATATCACTTATTTCAGCCAACTTTTTCAAACTTACCATAGAAACTGACAATCATGTTCTGCAACGTTCACACTTCGCGAATGTTTTGCGCTGTTTATTGAACTTTTTGGATGCACCTTTATGATTTCAAAAATTAAGGAAAATCTGCAAATTTTAGCGTTCTGAAGAATTCTAAAAAGCGTATGACAAAAAATAGTGTTTGTCACACGTACCTAAACGAAGTTTTTCAGGACTCATCTGCTATTCCGGACTCGGCTGACGCCTCGTCCGGAAACAGCAATGATTCGTCCTGAAAAACTTCATTTTAGGTACTTGTGACAAAAATAACTATTCGATCAGACATTTAGTGGCTTCCTAAGGTAAAGTGCAAATTAATAAAACAACAACAACAAAAACACCTCAGGGCGTTGGATCAGGTTGTTATAGGTATGTTAACGTATTTGGTTTCCTAGGTATTATGGATCTATAATAGTTAAATAGGAAATAAAACGCTTATATTTGTGACATATTGTCTACGTTTAGTGAAAAAAAAATTAAAATTTGTCTACATTTTTCTACACTTTTATACCATTTTAATGAAATATTTATTAAATAAGTACTCATAATCTGTGAGTAGCTCTAATAATTTATATTTAACTTTATATTTATATTAATTAATATGTTTTTCGTATGACTGAAAAAGCAATAAAAAATATTGCGAAAGCTTTCAAAAGATAAAAGAGTCTCGTTTTTGATTTTAATAACTGGCTTCATCCCCACTATTAATAACATGTTCATGTAAAGATTTAAGCCACGATAATACCTAATATAAAATTATTAAATAGGATAGGTATACTTTTTTGTATGGAATTCAACCCCCACTTCGATTAAACGATGCTTTTGTGTAGCGAAGTTGTAGCTTCGATTAAACGAAGCTTTGTATGGATTTTACCCATAACTTCGACAAAGCGAAGCTTTTGTTTGTGGAATTCAACCACGACTTTGATTAAACAAAGTTTCTGTATGGACTTTAAACAGAACTTCGATTAAACCAAGCTTTGTATGGATTTTAACCATAACTTCGACAAAGCGAAGCTTTTGTTTGTGAAATTCAACCACGACTTTGATTAAACAAAGTTTCTGTATGGACTTTAACCAGAACTTCGATTAAACGAAACTTTGTATGGATTTTAACCATAACTTCGACAAAGCGAAGCTTTTGTTTGTAGAATTCAACCACCACTTTAATCAAACACAGTTTCTGTATGTACTTTAACCACAACTTCGATTAAACGAAACTGTATGAATTTTAACCATTACTTCGACAAAGCGAAGCCTCTTTCTCCTTTTCCTTTATAAAATTTAAAAATCAAAAATAAAATAAAAAAGGTATAGTATTGTTCGACGGTATGCAAAAAAAAAATCCGATAAATCCTTTGTTTATCACCGATTTCCTCTAGCGAGTGATTGTTTTTCCCACACGCATACTAACAAATTAAATCGAAATTCATATTGGCTCAATTTAATGATCATTTATTTATTTATTAATTTAAAGCAATTGATTCTACTTATTATTGGAGCTTTTTATAGCCCTAATACACGTATAAAGTCAGTATCGTCGTAACTTATTGTTATTAACCAATATCCAATCCCTATATCTTTATCTATTTATGAAAAGTACTTTATTATATAGGTACTTACTATAATAGTCCAAGAAAAGGGGATCTGAAAGGAGAGTTTACCTCAACATAATAAGAAGTTAACATTTTTTGAGGGGGATCGGTCCATTTTCATGTGCCTAATAACATATTAAGTTTGCGACCTTGTACTTCCATAGGGTTTTTAGTTAGGGGTGGTTTTTAGGGGTAATTTGCGGTTTATGGAGAATTCTGCTCAAAGGGATGGTCCAATAGCAAAAAGTTTCAAATGATTGTTGTAGCTGAAGTTTTTTGCTATAAAAAACTCAGCGACAGCACCCCTCTATCTTCTATAGTTTTTTTTCTGCAGCGTCTTGTATAGTAGCATGTTTTTATTCAAGGTCACTGAATCAATGTTTTGCCTGTTCCCATGCATTTGATGCAACAGCGGCCGAATGCATAATCCGATTTCAATTTTTCAAACACCACATTATTGCTAATGAAATGCACTCTCCAATGCTTTTTTTTCGAATTTTTTGCTTGAAACTTAAGCGAGCACGGACTTGCCTAATGTGCGAGGAAGTTGTAAATTACATCGAAAACTACCCCTTTTTTTCATTCACTGTAATTTCTAAACGGGGCCAAATATTGGGTGACAGGTTTCAACAATCGGCAGCCCATTTATTCCTCTCGTAATGCTCCAGCGGATTTTTTCTTTTTCGTTAATTACTCAATGACTTATTGGCCTGAACACGTCGCGCGAAATTTTTCAAAAAAACAAAAAAAAAAAAATTGTCGCACAGCGCTGAAATTTGGTACGATGGCTTTATTTATTGTTTTTATGAATATACTGCAATTTTAAATTTTAATTGCTTCACATGACTGCTGCAACAACTAGAATTGCAGTATATTCATGAGAACATTAAATTAAGCCATCGTACCAAATTTCAGCGCTGTGCGACAATTTCAATTTTTTTTGATTTTTTGAGAAATTCCTCGCGACGAGTTCAGGCCAATAAGTCATTGAGTCTTAGCATTGAGTAATTAACGAAAAAATAAAATCCGCTGGGGCAAAATGAGAGGAATAAATAGGCTGCCGATTACCGAAAACTGTCACCAAATATTTGGCCCCGTTTAGAAATTACATTGAATGCAAGAAAGGGGTAGTTTTCGATGCAAGTTACAACTTCCTCGCACATTACGCAATCCGTGCTCGCCTAATTTTCAAGCAAAAAATTCGAACAAAAAAGCATTCGAGAGTGCATTTCATTAGCAATAATGTGGTGTTTGAAAAATTGAAATCGGATTATGCATTTGGCCGCTGCTGCATTAAATGCGCATAAACAGATGAAACGTTGATTCAGTGACCTTGAATAAAAACATGCTAGTATTCAAGACGCTGCAGAAAAAAAAACTATAGAAGATATGCCGGTTTTCCACCAAACGGACTGTTGAGTTTGTGTTTTAAAACATGTTTTAAAACAAAAACAAAACTGAAATAAACACAAAACTCTTGTTTCCATCTAGCGGACTACGTTTTGTTTTCTCGGGGAAACAAAACTCCAACTCTCTCAAAACACGCTAGTTTGGGAAAAGTTTAAGTTTGGGTTTTGTTTTTATTTGTCTGTTTGGTGGAAAACCGGCAATAGAAGGGTGCTGTCGCTGAGTTTTTTATAGCAAAAAACTTCAGCTACAACAATCATTTGAGACTTTTTGCTATTGGACCATCCCTTTGAGCAGCGTTCTCAATAAACCGCAAACTACCCCTAAAAAGGACCCCTAACTAAAAACCCTATGGAAGTACAAGCTTGCAAACTTAATATGTTAATAAGCACATGAAAATGAACCGATCCCCCCCAAAAAATGATAACTTATAATTATGTTGAGGTAAACTTCCTTCATTGCTTGGCCTATGTGCAAAATTTGAAAATTAGTGTGCAAAATTGTGCAAAATTAGGAGAATCTAATAGTGAAAGAATTTTCAAGTTTGGTTGAGGGCAGGGGGGAAAATTGATTTTTTGATGGTCGATAACTTTCTCCACAAAGGTGTGCAAAATTCGAAAATCAGTGTGCAAAATTGTGGAAAATTAGGAGAATCTAACAGTGAAAGAATTTTTAAGTTTGGTTGAGGTCGGGGGGAAACCGTCAAGTTTGCCCCCTCATCTGAAAATCGGGGGTGTGCAAAATTTGGTTTGGGGTGTGCAAAATTGTGCATAATTTGTGCAAAATCATGACATAGTTTTATCTTAATATCGGGGGGCAAACTTGACTGACCCAAATACCTGACACCTGCAGAAAACCAGAAAAAAAATAAAATTCACCTGCCTTTGATTGTAAATGCAATTTAAGCTTCGAATGATCGATATTTAAATGAAGTTGTAAAAAAAATATTGTTTGCAGCTCGTGCGCGAAATACTTTGGTGATCACGACTATTATTTTAACTCGGCTGCGCCTCGTTCAAAAAAATCATTTCTCGATCACCAAAGTAAAGTCCAACAAATAGCATTTTAGAGTCTCGTGATTTTTCTCTATCCTTGTTGAATACATCTTAAATAGCGGTGATAGTAAAATTGAAAAAAAAATTGGTGTCTTATTATTGTTCATAATATTCTTACCTGAAATAGAATCCGTCCCTGTCATCAATTAGTTTGTCAAAGTTATTCTCGAAAATGATACAACGAACAAACACAGCTAATAATTTTGACTATATTAACCTTTTCCAACTCGAAAAGAAGCAAATAGATAACGGGTACCCAATTCAGAATGTATTAAATACAACGGACAGCAGATGCGACAAAAGTCAGTCTCGCAACAACTGCAAGTAATAAAATTCCCATCTGATTAGTAATTAACCACCAGTAGTTATTTGTACGTGATATCAACGATATAATCAATGAACATACGTTTTTTGCCACCAATATCACGTGACTTTAGCATTTTGCGCACTAGATACAAAATGGCGTCATGGGAACGTTAAAAAAAACCTACTTGGGAAAAAAAGTGTCACTTCGCAAATTGTCATCAGTGTGCAAACATCATCTTTTTTTGAAAGTTGTAGAAAAATATAATTTTAGTGATATGTTTGAGTTAAATTAACTAACAAAATTCATATTTATTTTTCCAGTTACACGAGAGAGACCGTCAGCTTGCTACCGTACTACGTACAAGAGATATAGAAAAACTGAAGTCGATTGTGGAAGATTATCAATCGTGCGGAGAATTCACTCCAGAATTTTACACTTGCCTCTATAAATTGTGCGATAGGCAGGAATCCGATGATGAAATGATACAAGTCATGCTGGGGTGCAGCAGATTGGATGTAAATGAGAAGCAAAGTAATGGAGAGACAATCCTACATGCCCTGAGTCGTAATAACCACTATCAATGGGTAGAACATTTGATCAAGGTTTTTCCAAACATCGATGTAAATGCAGTTTGCAAAGACATGAAGACGCCGTTTCTACTTGCAGCAGAGTACGGACATATCAAAGTCTTGGAGGTTTTAGACCCCATCGTTGAAGATATAAGCTGTTGCGATATAAAGCAATTTAGTGTGTTGCATTGGATGGCTAGGCACGGAAGCTTGAAATGGGTAAAGTACTTGATAGAAGAAAAGGCATTTGAAGTAGATCAGAGAAACGCCTATGGTGATACTCCACTGAACAGGGCCATTGCGTTCGGACAGTATGAATGTTGCCAATATTTGTTGGAAATGGGCGCTAATGTGCTTGAAATTGATATGGAAGGAAGATCACTCTTGCACACTGCCGTTTTTGGTGGACATTTAGGATGTTGTAATGCTGTGTTGAAATATTTAAAAGAATATTCTTACGTTTACGTTAACTTAAAAGATAATAAGGGAAAAACCGCCTTAAATTGGGCAGCTGGCAAGGGATATAAAGAACTGGTAATATGTTTATTGGAAGCAAAAGCAGATGTAAACTATAAGGAACCTGATGGAAGAACAGCACTTGTGGGTGCTTCAATGGGAGGCTATGAAGATATTATCAAGCTCCTTATCGACGCCAATGCTAATATTGACGTTTACGATGGTGACAAGAAATACCAACCATTAACACGGGCAGCATCCAATGAACATATGGGAACAGTACAAATTTTATTAGATGCTGGTGCGAATGTGAATATTACAGACGATTTGGGCATGACAGCTTTGGATTGGGCATCATCAAAAGATCATGAAGAGATGGTGTACTACTTGTTGCAACGTGAAAACATAGATGTGAATAGTAGGGGCAACTTGGGTAACACTCCATTGATGAGGGCAGCAAAACGAGGCAATGTTAAAATTCTAAGGGCTTTAATTGAAGCAAATGCATGCGTCGACCTACAAAATTCAACTGGGGATACTGCATTGATTTTAGCGGTTATTAGAAGAGATTTATCTTGCGTTGTAGAACTGGTTAAAAATAACGCTAAGCTGGATTTGAAAAATTACAAGGGGGAAACGGCCTTAATGATTTCCAAAAAATTTTCATGGAATAGGAATATAACTGAAGTTTTGCAAGATGCCGGAGCAATTTAATGTAAAAGTGCAAAATTACCAGGCAGCTGGCAGCTGTTTTCACTTTGTAGTATTTTTTTAGTAGATCTCACTGAGTAGTTTTTCTTTCTTCTACTATGTATATTATTTTGGAAGCATAAGGCACTTTATGAGGGGGTCATGGCAGTTTTGTGATTAAAATGTGGCGCCTAGTTAAAAGTCTTATGAGGGTATTTTGTCACGTGAAAATGGTTCTTGTCACTCTGGGGTCGACTCTCACCCCCCAGCCACCCCTAAAGTCATAATTCTTAAAATAGACTATTATAATTATTTTTGTCCTACGAGCGTGCGGAAAGTACCACTTTTCCGCAGAGCGTGCGTGAAAAAAAATTAATACACGGCGTGCGTGGAAAAAGTTTTTCACGTACTGAATTTTGTTTTTTCTCAATTTTTTTACCTATGACATGCTTCTCAAAAAGTTCAGTTTTTCTCGAAATTTCTCCACCGTTTTTTCTCTTCAAGAGAGCTATTAGCTTTCTGTATTGACGAATGACGAATATCGACATATTTAATGAGTTTTATAGCTTAAATAATTCATTCTACTTATAATAAAAATAATTGTTAATATGTATTCTCTTATTAAACTTATTGCGTTATTAAACCTAATTAAAAAATCACATTTTTGACCATTTCCTTTTTCAGTAGAGCCAAAAAACAAATAAAAAAACAATATGTCAATTTTTGCACGCTCTTAGGAAGAATGTTGTAGCTAACACGAGCGTAAAATATCTTTTCCGCACTTACGGCTGACATAAACTCCGCTCGCGAGTTTTTCGTGCAAATGCCGTTGCGTGCAGAAAAGTATTACTTTCTGCACTTGTTAGCAACTATTTCGCATAGAAAACCAAAAAGCAGATTTCAAAATACTTGTCTGAAAAGTTAATAAAATCGAAGGCACTTCACAAAAAACGCTTAGCAGTGGCATGGGAAGACACTTATTTTTCTAGCCTAGGTGGTTGCGAAAAAAATATCTGTAGCAGTCAAGAGGAAGCAGATAAGTAGTGAATCAACTGTTCATGGAATAGAGACCTCAGGAAAATATTCCTCTAAAAGTATGTACTCATGTATCAATAACTATTTATTCGCCAGACACTGACGTTTTTATCTTGGTACTAAAATATTACAAAGATTTAATTCCAGATGGTTATTTCCAAACTGGAGCTGGTACAAAAAAACGAACAATCTATATTGCTGAGATATCAGAAAAGTTGACGAAACTTCAGAAAGATTTTTCACTTACAGGCCGCCATACAACCGAGGGATTCGCAAAAAAGGGTAAGATTAACGCCATTTTTAATCGGAAAACTTTTAATGAGGTGCCTGAGGACGTTTTGCAAAGTTTTGGTATCATTAGGCGACGTGAGCATCAATTTGGAGTCCATTGTTAGAATTTTGGAAAAATTTATATGTACTGTTTATGCTCCAAACATACAACTAAAAACCTTGGCTGAGTTAAGATGGCATTCTTTCTCAAAACAGCAATTGCAAAACGAGCAGTTGCCGCCTCTTCAAAACACAGTTTATATCCTGCTCTGCAACGGGCAACATTACAGTTGCATATTTGGGTAAATGCTCACTTAGCTAATCCCATATGCGTTTTAAAATCTGATTCCTATGGGTGGCAATTGGGCCACGAGACTTTCAAGCCAATTTTGTCAACTAATGAATGTATTGCACCTGACACCATATTAGTTATGTGGTCTGTCATATTCTAAACAATCAATGCACAAACAAAAACCAATTGTTTAACGACAATGATTCGGAAGATGTAGACAATATTCTAGCTGTGATGATAATGACGACGACGATGTAGAAATATAATCATTTATTGATCACATTATGTTATTTTTTGAATTTAACTAACGCCAATAGGTACCTATTTTTTTGCATCTTCCTGCCTTTTTATATCCCGAGCAGTTCACCCACACATTATTTTTTTCTAGAGTATTTTATTTAGACTAGTCTTTTCTGAAAAAGAAAAGCTTTATTTTGGTGTTTATTTTTACCCCTCAAGTTTACCGAGATTTTTCATATTTATTATTCGAAATATTCTGATTTCGGAGTGGCGAACCCGTTTTGTATTGAGAGCATTCTTGAGAGCACTACATAGGTTGCTTGCTTTAATCACAAACCTGCCGCGGAAATGCCCTATGCGCCCCTACTATATTTATAGGTATAACATATTTCTATTATATTGATTTATAAATAATTAGTTATACATAATTTTATATCTATATGCTTATAATTAGTATCTGCTCTTTTCTTTATAGTTATTAACATTATAAGGCGGATAAATAGCAAATAAGAGCCGGGCTGAATATCATCAACCAAGGCTGTTATTTGCAGTTATCGGCCGTATTCCGTTCTAGATTTTTCGTTATACTGAAGATTTTTTAAACAAACCACCCAATTTGAAAAATAAATTTTATTGAACAATAACTTTAATAGGTAGGTACAGATTATTCCCATGTGTAACAATTCATTCCTTATTATGGAGGTGGAGGCAAACGTAAACTCTGATCTGCAAAAGATTCAAGAGTATGGTCTTTGGTATGGTAGGAAGCATAACCTTACATTGAATGCAAAATAAACTCAGGTCTTGCTCTTTGCGCCAGCAGCATCCCACATAACAAAATTGCATCCTTAGAATGTATTAAGAATGTTCTTTTTTTAGGAGGAATGTGCCTAGAATATTCGCCAAAACCATTGCGAATGTCCTGAGAATGTTCTGAGAAAAGATTGTAGAAATACTGTTTGCAATACCCAAGAACTTCCTGGGAAATCCATTAGGATATTCCTAGAATATACCTATGAGATTCTCAGTACGTCCTTAAAAGAATATTCCTGTTTGATTCTAAAAATATGCTCGAAACGTACCTATATTCTCACATTCAAAGAATATTTCTATGACATTATAGTTATGTTCTTAAAAGAATATTATACCAATATGCTTGAAATATTCTTAGAATATTTCTACATATATCATTCTCAATATGCATCCTAGATATAACATTCTTGTTTGATTCTAAGGATATACTTGGAATGTTTATTTTCGCTTCCAAATAATGCTCGTTTCAGCCCTTTTATATTAAAGGCAGTGAAAGAGTTGTTGGAAAACTTCTCTAGAAAACACGAGTATTTAACCAAAGCTCCGGTTTCGAGCTTGTTATGCTCTCGTCAAAGCACGCCAACTGAGAGAAACAGGTTCCAAGGTGATTCAAATGCGAGGCAAGATGTAGATCATTAATAGCGCGTCGCTCCCTCTCTTGGAAGTCATACAAAGCAAACGAAAAAGAATATACCTATAATATTCTTAGTAGGTTCTAAATAGAGCATTATTGTTTAACTGTACAATTAAGGTTTTTGAGTAGGTACTTTAGATAATTAGGTGAACAATATGAAAATATTCTTATCACGTTTACCTACCTACATAAACTTCTCAGCACAACTTGGTAGGTATATTCTTAATACTTGCTAGAGATATTAGCTAAAAGAACATTTTTTAGGGTACATTATAATAATGTTCGTATGAGAATATTCAAATAATGTTATATAAAGTAGGTTCTTAGCACAATCTTTCAGGTAGGTGCATAGAAGCAACATTCCTAGTAAATACATAAATAGAACGTTCTAAAATGAATATTTCAATCGAAACAATCTTAGAATATCCATTGAACATTCCTAAAAGAACATTCCAAAAAGTACTTTGAGGGAATATTCTGAGAATATGAATGTTCTTTCACTGTTATGTGGGATGTCAGGAATTTTTCCGTAACTATCTGCATTTTAAGCTTCATGATAAAAGCTTGGACTTTGTAAATAGTGCTAGGAGCTTAGGTGTTAAATCTATTTTTTTTTTAAGATAATTCCCCAAGTCAACTATGTTGGCAACACAAGCTTTTTCTACATACAAAATTTGAAAGCATTGACAATTTTACATTGTATTGCCAACATAATGTCAGTTTGACTTTTATCTTTAAAAAAAAAAAACAGACTTTAGTATTAGATAGCAAACTTAAATTCAGTGAACATAGGTATTACTAATTTAAGTAGAAAGTCCTGTTTGGGAATCGACCCACTGAGCAGTGGACCCAGACTTCCCGTGCCAATCCTTGACGCGTTTCATCCTTGTTAGGACTCATCAGAATGATGTCGATTCGCAAACAGGGACCGTTGTGTTCCTGTATTCACGTTGGTCATTACCTGAAAAAAATCTTTCTAACAATTTTCATTGCCAACGAAAGCTCAGACCAATCAGTGTAGTTCAACGCCGGTAGGGGTATTTGCCCTCGGAGTAGTTGTTTCTGACTGGTCAACGAAATACAGGAGGACAATTTGAAAAGTAGCAATCCGGAATATCTCTTAGAAAAAAAATACTATCATTAAGATCCCAAATACGTATCGGAATCAAAATGAGGCACTTTTTGTGTCACCCCGCCTAATCGTACGATTTAGATTTTGCTATAAGACGTAAAGGAAAAGCAACGAGCTATCCAACGATATGCAGCACAAGGGTTCGTATTGAAAAAAAGCGTACCTAGCTACTCCAAGGGCTACGAAACGGGGTGGCTCAAAAAGTGCCTCATTTTGGTTCCCCGTCCAAGCCTTTAATTCCCCCGATACGTATTTGAGATCTTGATAGTATTTTTTGTCTAAGAGATATTCCGGATTGCGGCGACTGCTACTTTTCAAATTAATTGACACCCTGGCACAGATCACCTAAATACCAGGGTAGCCGGCTGCCTCGCCGCTACCGCGGCCGATAATTTATAGTGCGTGAGCGTGTTTCAGCCTATTGTGTTTACATATAACATTGAACCACGAATTCACCGCTCTTTCGCTTCTGTATGTAGGAGAACTATGACGCGGACCCCCGTACTATTCGACAAGCGGCCAGCGGCCTAGAGGGAAGAACGAGGTTTCGTAGCTTTGGAATCGACGGCAAGGTCCCTTACTTACGCATCTGTAAGTAGGTGGGTCGTATTTTTGAAATTATCCGAGTACACTTCGTACACGAAATTTGACTATGACAGCAATGTGAATTGAATAAAAATAAAAAAATCGTATCAAATTTCGTATGCGAAAATATTCGAAAATACGACCCCAGAATACGACCCCAGGGTCCTTATTCTTGAAACAGGGGAGCAGCGTTCCCAGGAGAACGAGTGTTTCGTCTTTCTCAATGATATGCAACTGATAATATAAGTAACAAAGACGGAACACTCGTTCTCCTGGGAACGCAGCGCCCCGGTTTCAAGAATAAGAACCCTGAACCACATGTACGGTGCAGTGTCGTTGGTGGCTAGGGTACGTTTTGTTCCGTTTTCCTATTTCGATATACATTCACGTTTTCTATTTAAATAAAATTAAAGTCGCAAATTCGGCCCGCGATCATAGTTCAACTAATATCAGAAATTAAAATATTTTCATCAAGAAAGATAATTGAAATATGAGAGATTTCCAGACCCCCCCTGACCCTCCCTGTGGGCGCCCATGAATGAATATGGAAATTGAATTCGCAGTTGCTATTACTAGAAATCTGCAATCCATCCCAAGGTTTAGATTTTACAGAGGAACTTGATACTGAAGAGTGTGAACTATTTATTATAGTACCTACTTGAAGTTACAAAATTATCCGAATAATTTTGAAAAAGTTGTTTTGTTATCTCCATTCTTTCAGACACCGATTTTTCTATGTAGGTTTCTGCCACCGTTGAAGATTCCCATCCTCCCAGCTCTTTCAATGCTAGTAAGTCACTACCTTTTTCTACAAGCATACTTGCTGATGTTCTGATGTTCTACGAAATGAATGTCCTGTATAAAGTTCGGGATTTTCTAGGTTTGAAAACGTGGCAATTTTCTTTGGAACGTTTCCGATAGTATGTATGCCGACGACTTGCATCACACATATGCCATTCCTGTAACCAACGAAAAATCTCTGATTGTTGAAATTGGGAGGACGCAGATTAGTGTATTTCTTGTATAAACCAAATGCATCAAATGGAAGGCCCGTTTTTGGGATAAGAAAATTTCTGTCTTTTTTATTTTTAGTATTTTGTAGTGATACGAGGACGTTTTTCTCTGTATTTTCGAAATTTTCAATCGTGAGAGACAAAAGTTGACTGCGCCTACAAGTTCCAAGAATACCGAGCAGTAACACAGTAACTTCTAAATTGTAGACATGTTAAAGATGTCCCTAAGATGTTCACAAACGACATTCAAGACATCTTGCTTACAATGCTTACGTCTTGAAGACGTCGTATGTTACAAAATCCGAAATCTTTCAGAGGTCTGCCAAGACACGTCTTTAGGACTAAGACTTGGTGAAGACGTCTTTGAATCTCTTAACAATACATAAACCATTACCTATTCACTTTTAGGCCTGGTTGTACCAAATAGTTGTCTTTAATATATGAATTGACGACATCTTATCATGGACATTTTGAAACCAACGACCAACGTCTTCTAAACGTCTTTTTTTAATTTTCAAACGTTCAGACGTGATGCAGACTTGAAAAAGACGTCTATTAGACTCTATATGCTGTTTGGGTGTGTATATGCAATTCTTCGAATTCGTACAATAATAATTCAAAAGCGATACTTTCCTATAGGTACTTAATTATTTACCTAAAACTGTCATGTTATATAATTTGAAACTTTCGTCATAGTTTTTGGATCCTACTCTAGATTCTGTTTCTGATTCTGCCGTGAAGATGATGTATATATCTTACTCGTAATGTATACATAACTGAGTACCTATTATTATTTATTTATATATTAGGTATTTTGTTGCCCCATAAATTTTTTCTTAAAATAATTCTCACTATTCTTTCTCTGAAATGGCACGTTTTCTCATTCACTTTTACAATAATGTCTGCATCAGGTGCCATACAACCCTCATTATACCTAGACTTTATGAGTCTAGGGAGCCTGAGGTAATAAAAATGAATCCATCAATTGTTGGGGTTTTCCTTGTTTATAATTACAATCATTTTATAACACCCCTTGTTGGGCCACCCAACAATGAAAAATGACAGAGTCCATTAAGTATATGGGTAAAATTTTGCTTGTTTCGTTCAGTTTAGAAATAACCAACGAGTGTACCGGTGCTTGATTTTTGAAATGAAAATGCTTCAAAAAAGCTTTATTAACTTGTCAGTGATTGTTGTTTTGAATACATTTTGTGCAATGAAAGCCGCAGGTGAAGTTTATCCTGGTCAATTCACTAAAAATTTACTACAGGTAAAAGAAAAAAAATTGATACATCTAATGAATAGGTATAGAAACTAATTTTATAAATATTCTAGGTTGATATAGAACTGGATCCAAATGTTATAGATAGCATTAAAACTGGAACAATTTTAGCATTTGAGCATTGCAGAAATGTCTTTCGTTGGGAGCGCTGGAACTGTCCAACTGAGGACTTTGAAAGGTAATTTTCACCGGCTTTATTGAACTTCAGTTACAGTTTTTGATTTTTTTTTCAGGCATAAACAGCAACGCGCAAATAAGGAACTGGCATTTACACAAGCTATTACGGCGGCCGGTATTGTTCATGCTGTTACGAAAAACTGCTCTAGAGGTTTGCAATTTATTTATATCCATAAAATTAGGTATTTGATGACTTTTCATTTTGGCTATGTTTGCTTTAAAATACTATCAAAATTAAGGCTTCCTAACCTAACACTACAACAATTCTTTTAAAAATCAAACAATAGTGAATAGTATAATATTATGCGATTGAATATGAAAATGCCTTGAGTAATGTGTGAATGAAGTCCTTATAATCTAATCATGAAAGAAAATATCTTAGACCTTTGCTGAAACAAAATCAATTTTCACTCATCAGCATCTTCAAGAAATCATGTAAATAATTTCGCTAACACTTAAACATAGAGGAATTTAGGTCTAAATGGTCATTCAATAAGTTACCTGAATATTTAAATTTGTTTATTTCAATAAGGGACTCAAGGAGTCCAAGGAGATTCAATTTCAACCCTTTATTTTCTACTAGCGGCCCGCTCCGGCTTCGCAAGGGTATAAAATATATAGCCTATGTCACTCACTGAAAAAATTATTAAAATCGATCCAGTAGTTTTGATTTATTCATTACTGCCCGTGGCCCGCACGCGTTAAACTTGGAGTAAAACAATTTAATTGGATAAGGATTAATGCTGTATTGGTTAAAATCGCTTCCTGCGTTTGCAATGTAAGCGGAAGAAATGTAATTATTTACGACATCACATTGGAAACCTCAAAAATAACAGTATTTCTCCACTATTTAATGGATGTTATTATACATATAAACCTTCCTCTTCAATCACTCTATCTATTAAAAAAAAACGCATCAAAATCCGTTGCGTAGTTTTAAAGATTTAAGCATACATAGGGATATAGGGACAGAGAAAGCGACTTTGTTTTATACTATGTAGTGAAGTCGTGGCCCATATCTTTAATCGCGTTCTTTTATTTTAATATTTCTCACTATTTTGGAATCAAAATTTATCGTGAAATCTTCATCTTCTTCGTCCATGTCTGACAAATGATCAGAATCTCTTCTGTCCTGAGTAATTTCAGTATCTGGCACATTATGTCCTTTTTTATGTTCAGTTATGGGCGTGGCATACTGTTTGATGAACCTTCTGGAAAAAAAAAATGGTTTCATAGTTGGCTTGTTGGCTACATGCATCTACAACTATCAAAGAAAATACCTTAGATTACTTTATAAAAATACTTAAAAACTTACCTTCATCAGATGCCGAGTCAGATGCATCAAAACTACAATTTTCTGAAATTTGAGGTACTTTTTTTTACATTTCTTTTGAAATGCCCACTCCTTTTTATTTTTTTCCAGGGTGATAATTCCATATTCACTACTTCAAGATGTTTACAATTTTGTAATGTGGAAATTTGACAATTTAATGTTTTCGGTTTTTTTATAAGAGTGCAAATGTAGGCACTTATACAAATATTCTATATAGTATTTATAACGCACTAACTGAAATGGTTTTATCCAAAATACTAATGATTCGTCCTTTAAACTATTTATAACAGAGTAAGCAACGCCCCTATAGGTCTCCTATAAAACAATTTTATACTTATTTCATAAAGCATTTATCTTTATTCTTAAGAGCTGTTATATTTATTGCCTTACAAAGCCTTTATACAGCTTGTATGTAACTTTTACAAAAATGTTTTTCAACGCAGAAATTAAAATTGTTATAAAGAAACAATAAAAATCTTATAAAGTTCTTAAAACATTTTTTTTAATACTTTTAAAGCGGTCTTATAACGCGCTTTATAAATGTTACTTAGCGGCCCGCTCCGGCTTCGCACAGGTATAAAATATATAACCTATATCACTCACTGAAAAAATTATTAAAATCGATACAGTAGTTTCGATTTATTCATTCCTTATATTCAAATTAGTCTAAAATGACACCAATATTGGAATAATATGATAGACATTTTCAATAATTTTAACCCTTTAAAAATCGAATAGGGGTTGAACAACCCCCATGAGGGTTGAAATTTGAGGTGCTGCGGGTTTCTTATGCCAAATTCTATATAAATCGCCATAGATTTTTTCCAGATAGGTCTGAATGTGAAAAAACGATATTTTTGACACTTATGTCAAATATGACAGCAATAGAGCCCTACCGTTGGGTCCTATGAGAATGAGATATTTTTTTTTTGAATTCCTCACATTCGAATTATTCTAAAATGACACCAATATTGAAATATTATGATGACATAGACATTTTTAATAATTTTAACCCTTTAAAAAATAAAATAGAGGTTAAACCACCCTCCTGAGGGTTGAAATTTTAGGTACTGCGGGTCAAATCCCTTAAAATAGTGCAAAAAACAACTTGCCAAATTTCATGCTTTTAACCCAATTTGCTACATTTTACCCCATTTTGATAGTCTGCCGCATAGACTATAAGGGATACAGGGTCGGTTGAATTGGGGCAAAGTTTACGAAATTTTGCAAAATTGATTTTATATTTTCCTGAGCTTATTTGAAGAGATACGCCAAAATAAATTACACTTTTCTTTTCCCTACAATATGGCATTATCAAATTTGAAATCCGATATTTCGTCTTTGGGCCACCTTTTCTTAACCTTGTTTAACAAACATGGGATTTTATTTTTGGATTTCCATCAAAAGATGCCGGTGTAAACCCAGTCATTTCGATTGAGTTGATACAGAGCGCCATTTATGACCAATCAATACAACTACCCAACTACAACCAACTACCAATAGAAATTTCATTAGCTAGCTTTGGGTGCGTTTACATCAGAACATTAAAATAATATAAAAATGAAAACAATAGTTATTTGTGCAACCAGTTGGGAGAAGCACTATTTTTCGTAACGAGCAGATTTCTGCGAGTTACGAAAAATAGTGTTTCCCAACGTGTTTCACACAATATTTTTTTCTAATTTTGTATATTATGACCTGATCCATTCAAATTCAAGTCAAAAACATGAAAAACATCCCTTCTATAATTATTTCTAAATTGTCAAGTAAGTTCAGAGATGTTTCCTATTCCGTTACTATGGAAGCCAGTATTGTTTATTGTCAAGTTTGGCGACTCAAACTGTCATTGCTTTCGGCGATCATCGACTACCTACTCTGCTTTTAGATTCTGTGGATGACAAATCATCAAACTGAGAATTAAATAGCATGGGGGGTGGAAGTCTAATACAGCCGCTAAGGGCTATGTGGATTATTCCATGACTATAATAAACAGAAAATTGTCACCAACAACCTTGGAGACACTTCCACGGAAAAAACATTCAATTCATTCATTTAATTAATGCTACACAGAAAACTATATTGTCAATATCATCAATAATTATTGTTCAAATTGTGTTAAGTAATAATTTTTATAACTAATTAGTTTTTTTTTCCATACATTGTCATATTATGTAACTAATTTGAATAAAATAAAATCTTCATAATATGTACCATCGTCACCAAAAGTATCTGGGACACAAATAATGCATAATAATCTCCTGGACTAATTCTACTGTCATTTATTTCAATGCATTTAATTCATAGTTTGACAAATATTTGACATAAAATTCATATAATAGGACAAGAGCTAATGTGATGCTGTCCCAGTTACTTTTGGTGACGATGGTACGTACAAAGAATATAATAACAACAAAGTACTTCAAGTAGTTCAGCCCTGAAAGTATCACAGATTTTGTTCCTGTATTTTTCGCAACTAATGGTGTAATTTTTCATCACCAGTTGCGAAAAATTTTACTTTTCGTAACTGGTGATGAAAAGTAAGGCATTTGATAACGTCAACGAGTTTTGAAAAGTGTCACTTTATATGTCAAAATAAGAAAAATATTATTTATGAAACTTTTACTGATTATAATAGTAAAAAACAAATTTTTTTTTATATTTTCAAAGATTTTTTTTTAAAAAGGTTAAATTTTCAATTTACCCAAAGGATGGTTGAAGCAACAGTTTAGGAATTTTTGGTTAATTGAAAATGTGCAACTTTGCGGATCAATTGTGTTGAGTTTGTAAATTATTTTCTATTATTTACCTAAAACTATAATCATTTTTTTATTTTGGCAACGCCGTTTTGTTTTGGCAACATTGCTACCGACGGCTTCATGCCGATGGCCCTAAGAGCCAAGAAATTATTATGCGATTCTGTTCTACCCTATGGTTCTACCTTTGAGTACCGTCGAGATGTAAGAAAGATATCTCCGGTTTGCATTTGACTTTTGTTAACACAAAAAATAAAATAAAGGTTATATAACAAAAATAATTATTGTGCTTTACTATGAACCAGTATATTTATCAAGTGGTACGTCTAGTAGAGTAATTGCGAGACCCCACAAGACGCAACAAATTGCTCAAGAAAGTATTCAACTATCAAACTCAATGTAACACGAATTTATCAAGAATTCAATGGTGTTTAATTTAGTTTGATTCGTTCGCATTTCAATGACTATTTCACTAGAGTGTATTACACCGGTTATACAACTCACTGTACATTATTCCCATATGACACGAGAGCAAAGAAAACGAGAGGCTTAATAAGTGATAAGCCTTTTGGGATTATCGCGCTTGGTGGCAATATTGTTATTAATAATAATAAAAATTAATAAAGCATTAAAGTTTGGTTCGTTGTATAACCTTTTGAATACCATTCGATGTTTCAGGATTACCTAATACTTTTACCTGACACTCAACGCGTTATCAGCAACACCACTCCTCCTTCGGAGTCGTGGTGTTGCTGCGTAACGCGTTTCGTGCCAGGTAAAAGTATTATCCGGTAATCCTGAAACCTCTTGTGGTATTACATTCGATTATACAATTCACTGTAAATTATTCCCATATGACACGAGAGGCTTAAAAAGTGATAAGCCTTTTGGGATTATCACGCTTGGTGGCATTTATGGCAAATTCTATTATAGAAATTTTTTAAAATTTTAAAGTATTAAAGTTAAGTCCGTTGTATAACCTTATGAATACCACTCGATGTTTCAGGACTACCTAATACTTTTACCTGACACTCAACGCGTTACCAGCAACACCACTCCTCCTTC